GATTTCACATTTCTAGGATGCCACACTTGGCAGAATTAGAAAGACAGAGTCTGTCAGTGTAATTATGGAGAACTGAGGACTACATTTATCAAAACTCTCTGGCAAAGTAACCTGGCTAATCATATATATAGTGTCTGAGAGTCTGTAACGCTGAAATGCTGGCTGTTCCCTCTGGGGGGTGTTATTGCCTGAAATGCTGACTGTTCCCTCTGGACGACGCTGTTGCTGAAATGCTGGCTGTTCCCTCTCGGCGGCCGTGCTGCATGGGGAGTGCGGGGCCCAAACGGCTGCTTGCGCCGCTTGCTGCCCCGCGGTGGCCCTGCTGAGCGGCGCAGAAGTCAGCCGAGTGCCACGGCAGGAGGCGAAGGGGGGCAGGGCGGTGACGTTCACTGCCAGGGAGCGGGGCAGTATCCATTTCGAAAGTGTCCATCCGCTATGTACATTGGACAAACGTCTCAGACACTTTGCCAAAGGATCAATGCCCACAAAACAGATATCAGACAGGATCATAAAGAAAAAACAGTTTCTTGCCATTTCAACCAGAAAGGACATTGTCTCAATGACTTGATTACCTGCATCCTGCTTCAAAGACCTTTTAAGACTTCACTTCAAAGAGAATCCTCTGAACTGTCATTCATGCTTAAATTCGACACTTTACACTCAAATTTGAATAAAGACACTAATTATCTCCCTTTACAAAGCTAGCTTCCCCAATTATCACCTCTAATATCATTAGCTCACAGACATTTACCTTCTCCCCTTCCCCCTCCTCCATCCCTCTTCTGTTCTGAAATTTGATTTGTCTGTTTCATATGTGTTCATTTTTTTTAATTGTATCCTTTGGTATATATGGTCGTGACAATTTTCTTCCACTATTTGATCTGAGGAAGTGGGTCTGGCCCATGAAAGCTCATCACCTATTAAACCATCTTGTTAGTCTTTAAAGTGCTACACAGTCCTGTTTTTTGTTTCAGCTGCACCAGACTAATATGGCTACATTTCTACCACTATTCTAGACTACGGGGTTTTTTTCAAAAAAAGTGACCTTTTTTTGAAAAACTTCCCCTGCGTCTAGACGGCCACCGCCTTCTTTCAAAATTAATCGAAAGAAAGCAGTGGTTTTTTCAACAATGTTAAACCTAATTTTACGAGGAAGAATACCTTTTTTCAAAAGTGCTCTTTTGAAAAAAAGGTGTTGTTGAATGCAAACAGGATTTTTTTGAAAGAGAGCATCCAGACTGCCTGGGTTCTCTCTTTCAAAATAGTGGCTTGCTTTTTCGAAAGAAGTGGTTTCAGTCTAGACGCTCTCTTTTGAAGATTCTTTTGAAAAAGCCTCTGTCAAAAGAGGCTTGTAGTCTACACGTACTCTCAGTTATTATTCTGAGATAACTAGTGTAATTTTGAAATAACAATGCGAGCATCTACATAGCCATTCAATTATTTCAAAATAATTATGAAATATCAGAGGGCTTATTCTGACATCTGTAAACCTCATTCTATGAGGAATAACACCTATTCCAAAACAGCTATTTCGAAACAAGGTGGCTGTGTCTACATTGACACCCCTTTCCAGAAAAGGGATGCTAATGAGACCAGTTGGAATTGCAAATGCCGTGGGGGATTTAAATATCCCCCGCAGCATTTGCATGAACACGGCTGCTGCTTTATTCCGGCTCAGGGTTTTGCCGGAGAAAAGCGCCAGTCTAGACGGGATCTTGCGGAAAATAAGCCCTTTTCCAGAAGATCCCTTATTCCTACTTGAAAGGAATTAGGGATAAGGGATCTTCCGGAAAAGGGCTTATTTTCCGCAAGATCCCGTCTAGACTGGCGCTTTTCTCCGGCAAAACCCCGATCCGGAAAAAAGCGGCAGCCATGTTCATGCAAATGCCGTGGGGGATATTTAAATCCCCTGCGGCATTTGCAATTCTGACTGGTCTCATTAGCATCCCTTTTACGGAAAAGGGTGCCAGTGTAGACACAGCTGGTGTGTGAAGATGCTCCTCTGCTGCTATTTTGAATTAGCCCCTTACCAGGGCCATTCTGAGTTATTCCTCCATAGTGCCTCCTGGGGCTCTAAATCAAGATAGCACATCTACATTAGAGAAGCCTGCCTCAGATAAATTTTGTGGTTTCCCTGCAGTATAGATGTTCTATTTCAAAATAAGCTATTTCGGAAAAACTATTCTGGAATAGTTTATTTTGAAATAAGAGTGTGGTGTAGATGTACCCTCATACTTAACCAAATAATATACATGAGGATAGGTGACTATCACCTTCACGGATACACATGTGTATGTAACCTTCTGCCAAGTGGTTAATGATAGCAAAAAGTGCACAGTATATGTAGAGTTCCCCTTGACAAATAAATATCAAACCAGTTCAAGCCCCAAACTAGGAATGCTAAATACACCTTTGAGGTATGCACTTAACAAGCAGAATGTCTCCACTTGCAAGTGTTCTGAGGCTGTGTATAAATAGGGAAATCTTTATTAGAGGAAAGGGAACCAGTTCTAAAGTGAAAAAATCCAGCAACAGACTATAAATCCAAATAAACAGTAACATAATCTCCTCCTTCCAGTAATGTTGTCAGTCGTGTATCTAAAGTCCTTCCTAACTGCTAGTGAGAATAGTCCCTGGGTAACAGTACATTGGCTGCACCATCTTACCCTTCCACAAACCCTCCTCATGATTTGGATCGGTGAGTACCAGCTGCCCAAGTATTTCCATGCACTTCCACCTCTGATCCTAAGCCAACCGATCTTAGTGATTTTGCTTTATCAAGGCAATAGATAGGTGGAGCCTCCCAAGAGTCACTCAGCTCGGTTGCTCTCTGCACCATCTCTCATCGCAAAGTCTTAGTCTATGCTGTCTCTCAAATTCCAGAGATGGGGAGCCAAGAGCACTTAGGATCCTTGACCAGTCTTCTGGTTGCTTGGAAATGAGCAGTGTGACACAAGGTATGAGCTCATTCTTTCAGTATGACTGAAACCCAAAGCTCATTTATAGTTATGGTGAATCCTCACCACCACTACCAAGTGTCACCAGAAGAAACATAAAAATATACAGCTCTCGGAAGAAGAGCTTTTCCCTGTTCATCAATAGGGTAAAGAGCTTTTTGAACTGTGGAGCTTCTGGCTATCAGCTTACACACATGTTTATTGAAGAGAGTAACTGGCAGTGACTACAGAGAAAGAATGATAAAGATCTGGCATTATTACAGTTAATACGATCAGACAGAGGAAGGGACATGAATGCACCCTTTGTAACATACACTGCACACATACACTGATTAATGATTGTAGTGAACAGTTTGAGAATTATAGCATGATTAATGGAAACTGGTAAATTTCAATCCATGCTATTGTCAGACGTATGTAATAGTGTGTGTGGTTGTATATGACTCCCTGACTGGAGATTTGACACTCAGGCAATTACATGAGCCTGTCAAGGATCTGGCAGCTCTATTCACAAATAACACTACAAATTTCTACAAATGCAATTTCAAGAGAAACTGGAATGTTAAATCTGCTAACCAGCCAATAAATGTGCACTTTGTCTTTCTCACTCTCCTTTAGTCAGGAAGAATCCTAAATATTTAAAAATTTGGTATGCATGTACCTACTGGATATAATACTTTGTAGTATCCAAAACTTTTAAGATGATCTACAATTCCTTAGACCTGCTTAGCTCCTGACCTCACTCTCTCTCTTCCAAATGTGCTCCCTTCTCCTACCTGCCTTCTCAGTCCCAATGGTATTATGCATGTTTATACAATTCATCCAAAAAGGGAACAGAAACAATACTATGTTACTTAGGAAGCCAGTCACACAGAATGAATCATTTAGCAAACAATCCATAGCAAAGCATTTGCTTAGTTATGAATCACCAAAAATGTTGCAAATCCTCTCTGTGGAAACTGTGCAAACAGAAAAGTAGGGATAAACAATTTGTTATGAACATTTTGACCCACTGTAGTAAAGTCTGTTTGAATAGTTAAGGATTTGTTTGAGCAGATCCTTAAGTTATACAAAAGAATACCTAATATACATAAGAACACCGAGTAAACCAACCTTATCACAATCAAACTGCATACAACATTGTGCAGGAAGGCAGCTTCACCATAGCAATCCACATACAAAACAAAATGATGGGGAACTATGTGCAAATTTTCCATTTGGACTGAATTCTATCATTATAGAATCCTCCATCCCATACTGGGTTATGACAGTCTGTCACATCACACTAACTTGCTTTTGTTTCCTTAAATTCATAGAAGCGGAACAAGGCTTGATCTCCCCTTTCCTGGCATTTCTGGAAGACTGAAAGCTTGTTTTACCCTCTGGTGATTTCAGGACCTTCCAGGCAAGTCCATGATAGTCTATGCCTTCTATCAGAGCAGAGAACAGCAGAGTCACTCTCTGAAGCTGCTGAAAGCTGTCAGAGATGCAGAGAAGAGATGCACCAAGACACGTCCTACCAATTGCAACTTGAGAAATCCCAGAGCTCAGCATCCTGGGAAAATAACTGAGAAACTAGGTTTTCTGACTGACTCAGAGGGAGCAAACGTCATGCAACTCCCCTAAAAAAGACAAGACAAAATTGCTGATCTTGGTAAGATAGGGGGAGGCTCAGCTAATCAGCCAAGGTAACTAGAAGAAATACCATGTGACTTCAAAGATATAAATCCCAACACGCAACTAATCCCAGTTTGAAGCCATAAAAAAGTTGCTTTGAAATGTTCACAATCAATCAGATGGTGCCATCAAAAATATATCACCAATCTTTGACAAAACCCCACTAAAAACAAAAATTTGACTAAAGTAATGGAAATAGATACCAGCTCCATCAGAATCAATAGCAAAACTCCCATCAGCTTCACAGGACTCAGGACCTACCCTTGGGATTTTTGAAAGCTGCAGGAATTTAAATATTGATAAATGTAAGGGATTTAAAATTTGCATTGAATGTTTTACACAGCTCTCCTACAAACCATGGAATATTTCTATACCTTCAATGACTACGGTACAAACTTTTAAAGGGTAAAAATACAACCGGTCAAAACACTGAAAACATAAACTCTGTTACAATTAATAGGGTTTCTGTTTCTAGGGATTTAAAATAAAAACATGGATTTTTATGAATTTCTTTGAAAAAAAATCAAAATGCCAAAAGATTGGATTTTTTTAAATTGTCTCCTTTTCCCTTTATCCCCTCTGAGTTCAATAAGAAGAATATGATATACTGTACTTCCATTTTTTTTGTTATTTTTTTCCCTTTTTTTCTTTTTTCATTTTGCAACTCTAACTTTTAAAAAGTTCTCTAACCTTTGAAAATTTAGAGAATGACAGAGAGAGTTTCATTGTTGCTTTTTCCAAACTGTTGAAACTTCGGTTCCAACAAAAATATGAAGCATTGAAACAACAATCGTAAAACAGAATAAAAAGACAAAAGGCTTTGCACTGAAGTATTAGGGTTGAATACAGGATGTTTTTTGAGTGAATAAAAGTTTTGTCTCAAAATTTTTGATCAGCACTAAGCAAAATATCTCATGTGATAGAGACAGACCAGTGTAAACCCTGGTTCTGATCCAAGAGGTTCTGATAGCTGAACCATTCAGTAACAGCAAATTTAATGTAATTAAATTTAACATCACTGTTGCAAAAAATACCAAAGAGGCATATCACAGTAACTTTTAATTAAAAAAAAGGGTATTTACAGAAAAATGAGAAAGCTAAACAGAAATTAAAAGGGAGTCACAAGAGTGACATCATAGGTTCAGATTCCATAGATGTTCTGGGGCTCAGTAAGTCTGGAGTCATTGTTTTGTACCTGAGGTTTGGACACAGGGCATGCCCTAGCCCCAGTGGGAGCATGACTGTGTAATGAGATTGCTGCTAACAGCTTCTGCCCTTGGGCAAGGAACTAGATGAAAATAAGGTTGGTCAGAGTTATCCCGAAAGCTTAGTTGAGACATAATATCTTTAAATTGGGACATTAGTGAAAACAGTTTAGGTGATTACAATGATTTTAATATATGATGATGTAATCATGAGACATAATTATGTAGTCTATAACAATTCAATATTAAAGATACCAGTGATGGACACACATTCAATAACTAAAATATGTTAACTGACAGGACTCCCCTCCCATCTCTTCATAGGCACCCATGCACAGATCAAAAGTCAGCGCCTGTGGGTGAAATGTCTGCTAAGACAATTTTAAAACACTCTAACAGAAGTTCAGACTAACTGTATACCTGAAATTAAACACGAGCACCCTTCTCCTCACATACCCAGGAGTAAATTAGGTAGATAAAGGTCAAAAAAGGTATTATTTAAAAATTGTCTATCAAATATGACCGAGGAAAATAAAAAGAAGTGTAAAGCCTGTCTAGTCAAATGTGGAAATATAATAAGGCAGTCAAAGAAAGACTTTGAAGAGCAACTTGCTAAAGACAAAATACTAAAGCAATTTCTTTAAAGTACATCAGAATCAGGAAGCTTGCCAAACAGTCAATAGTGCCACAGGACTAGAGAGGTGATAAAGGAGCACTCAAGCAGGGGGAAAAAATCATTGCGGAGAAGCTATATTAATTCTTTATTTTGGATACTAAGGAGATTTCCAGACCTCAGCCTTTGCTTTTCAGTGAGAGATCTGAGGAGCTGTCCCATATTGAAGTTCAATTAATGAGGTTTTGGAAGAAATTGGTACATTTATAAATAATAAATCACCAGGACAAGATGATATTCATTCATGTTTTCTGAAGGAACTCAAATACAGTGTTATGCCACTTACCATTTATATCAGCCTCTGTAACAGGTAACTGGAGGACATCTAATATGGCCTCAAGTTTTAAAAAAGATTTCAAAGGTGATCCTGGCAATTACAAGCCAAAATGTCAGTAATAGGCAGATTGGTTGACATTAAAGAACAGAATTATCAGACACACAGGTAAACATAATGGCTATGTCTAGACTGGCATGATTTTCCACAAATGCTTTAACGGAAAAGTTTTTCTGTTAAAAGCATTTGCGGAAAAGAGCATCTAGATTGGCACAGACGCTTTTCCACAAAAGCACTTTTTGCGGAAAAGCGTCCGTGCCAATCTAGATGCGGTTTTGCGCAAGAAAGCCCCGATCTCCATTTTCGCCATCGGGGCTTTTTTGCGCAAAACAGTTTTTAGCTGTTTACACTGGCCCTCTTGTGCAAAAACGTTTCCGGAAAAGGGCTTTTACCCGAATGGAAACGTCAAAGCATTTGCGCAAGAAGCACTGATTTCGGACAGTAGAACGTCAGTGCTTTTGCGCAAAATTCAGCTGCCAGTGTAGACAGCTGGCAAGTTTTTGTGCAAAAGCACTTGCTTTTGAGGAAAAACTTACCAGTCTAGACGCAGCCAATATGTTGGGGAGGAGTCAATATGGTTTTGTTAAGGGAAATCAAATCTCACCAATCTACTAAAATTGCTTGAGAATGGGCAATATGGGTAATACAGCGATAGAATGTACTTGGGATTTCAGGAAGTCTTTAACAGGTTCCTTCACCAAATTCTCTTAAGCAAACTAAAAGTTCATGGGATAAAAGAAAACATCTGTTAATAGATTAGTTAAGGGTTAAAAGACAGGAACCAAAAACTAGGAATAAATTATCAGTTTTTATTTTGGAGGGAGAAGCAAATATCAGGATTTCCCTAGAATCTATGCCAGGACCAATGTTGTTCATCATAGTCATAACTGATCTAAAAATGAGAACCGTGAAGTGTAAAATTTTCAGGTGATACAAAATTACTCAAGGTGGTAAAGTATGAAGCTGACCAGAAAGAGTTACAAAGGAATTTATGTGAGTAACCAGAGTGACTGGGCAACAAAATGGAAGGTAAAATTCACTGATGATAATTGCAAAGTAATGCACAGTGGAAAAAATAATTCTAGCACTACACAGAAGATGATTGTGTGTAAATATTTGTTACCACTCAATAAAAAGATTTTGGAACCATAGTGGATAGTTCTATGAAAATATCCACTCAACATACAGCAGCAGTCAAACAAGCTAACAAAATATTAGGAGCCATTAGGACAGGAAGAGATAATACAACAGAAATGTTTTAGTGCCATTGAATAAATCTACTTCCAAACCTTGAGTATTGTGTGACATTGTGGATGCCACATCTCAAGAAAGATATTTTAAAATAATAAGGGTACAGAGAAGGGCAACAAAAATGAGTAGGTACGTGGAACAGTTTCCATATGGAGACAGATTAAAAAATATGAAGACTGGTTAGCTCAGAAAAGAGATGATTAAGAAGGGACAGAATGGATATGCATTTATCATGAATGGTGTGGAGCAAGTTAATTGGAAAATGTTATTTATGCCTTCACATAATACAAGTAGGGATCACCTGATGTAATTAATAGGTATCAGCTTTAAAACAAACAAAGAGGAATTACCTTTACACAACATAGCAACCTGTGGAATTTGTTGCCACGAGGTATTATGCAGGCCAAATGTATAACTGGATTAAAAAAAGAATTAGAGAAGCTAATGAATAATAGCTCTATCAATTGCTATTAGATAAGGTGGTCAGGGGACATAATCCCTTGCTCCAAATATCTTAAACTTCCAACTGTCAGAATCTGGGACTAGATGACAGTTGAATGGATCATGTGAATTTCCTGTTCTTTTCATTCCCTATAAAATATATATCACAAGCCACTGTTAGAAGATAAGCTACTGGGCTAGATGGAGCATTAGTCTGACCTAATATGTTCATTTTTATGTAAAGACTTGTATACTATTGGACAGGACAAATACAGGCTTATTTGTTGTGCATGTAAGCATACTATTAATGGGGACACTTGCCCACTAGTATTCAGACCATCTACAAATGTCATACAGGAAATAAAAGAACCAATTATAATTAACAACTTGTGTTAACTGTCAAATTCTGGTAGATTGGATCTGGTAAAATGAAAACTATACATCCCATTACTTATCACTTGTGCCAGCATTATTTCGGGCACTTATCAAGGACAAGGAAGTGTGGAAATAATTGTAGAATGCCAAGTTGAATTTCAGATTGAAGTTATTTTTGTAACACAGCAAGAGCAAAAATTGAAAATGTTAAGAATATAGTAAATTTCTTTTTGTGCAAGAAGTTGAAAAGAATAGTCTGTCAAAGTGACCTACTGTGGTGCTTAATAGAAAGCAGAGCATAGAGTTCTTTGATGAGATTTCAGGAAGAGGATGGAAGTGGATGGTGAGGTGGCAAATTAGCAGCTTAGAAGAAACAGCTTTGGAAACAAATGTGACACTAACCATGTTAATGAAAAGGAAAAATGCTAGTAAATTAGGGATATATTTTATTCAAAGTCTTTGAAGTCCCTAAATTAAATATTTGCAGACTTAATATCAAATACAATAGTTGCAATTTCAAAAGAAGTTGAAATTAGGGGGCAAAGAAGTTTGGCTTGCTAAGCTTGGAGCCTGACAGGAGAGGATGTTCCAATAATGGAATTTTCCAAGGAGGGACAGAAGTGGTGCTTGGGATTCAAATAATTTGTACTAGAAACTTGAGACATAGCAAGGTAAACAGCCAACATCACATCCTCTGCAGTGCCTGATTGGATTAATCATTTTACACATAGGGCAAGATGATCTTTCACAGAGAAGATATTTCACAGTTGATCTTCCAGGGTTTGAATTAGTGAGTCTAGTGAAGACACACTAATTCAAACTGACAGGGGCACTCCGGCCAATGCCAGTAGTCCTGTTTCCATGAGGAGTAAGAGAAGTTAAGGGGAGAGTGGTCTTCCTCTGACTTCATGCATTGTGGACAGTGCTAAAAGTCGAGTTAAGCT